AAGTTTAATTTATTATTAATTATTAATAGAAATTAGAATAAACTAAAACATATTAATTAGTACTGCAGTCTTATGTCTGTTTGGGATTTTTCATTAGAGGAAATACTGGATCCCAAACTGGTGGTACGGAGAAACCATCTTCCCTGTTGAAATTAGGATGTTTTTTAATTTCAATGGCCTCTCGCAGCATCCTGGGTAGATAACGGACTTCTTTTGCAAGGACCTGGGGTTTGTCAAACTTCATTGAATGTGTAGGTTTATCACTGTAATCCGGAAAAATAGTTTCATTTCCTATGTGTAACAATCGCGAAAACCTAAGAACTCGATATGTCAAATGTATTTTTTTAGGAAGATTAAAAAGCAAAAGGAAAATTTAAAAGCTAATTTTGTCTTTGTGAAAAGCATCAAAATTACTCGAAACTGTAACGGTTTTATTATAAATCGGTTTTCGAAATTACGGATATTGAGTCTACGTTTAATTGGAATATCGGTACATTTCTTATAGTATGCATGTATCTGCCCAACTCTTTATTATTTCTCTAAGTGAATTTGTACAAAATTCGACATAATAATATATATAAAAATTAATAAATATTTACTCCATTACTCTTGTGTTCAAGTAATTTTCAGTCGAAGCTAAATATGGTGCATTTTGTTAAATTTCCAGTAGAAGCTGAATATGGTGTTTTTGGGCCCTTAAATTGTTGCAAGCAAAATTAGGCAGCACTGCAATGACGTTAGAATTTAAATTAAATGTTTTAGTTTTTTATATTTCGTTACATGTCACTACGTTTGTATAAGTTAAATTCGGACATTTTTTTCGTGGTTTTTGTATTAGACCCGACGTATATTTGTTGGTAGGTCAATGATTTGAACAATGAAATAGAATTGTGGTAAGAAACGTGCGAAACTTAGATCGAAATTTGGTTTTTTTGTTGAAAAAGAGTAGACCTCTATGTTATGAATGAATCACTTCTGGTCAGTTGACTCAGGATAGGAAACATTTCGTTGCTACTTTCAATTTTAAACTTTTAAGAATTTTTAACAAAATCTATATAAAAAAATCTTATCTCTCTGAGGAATTTGTTTCTGATAGAACACACGGAATGTTTTACAAACAAATTTGTTAAGTAGCTGTCATCGGTGGTGCTTTCTTTACGTATCCTGACTTCGAACACGCCTTTGATAAGGTTCCTCAAATGAGATTGTTATTTCAGGTTAAACACCTTGGCACTCCAAAGATTAATAATATGTTAAATATGCTTAAAGATTACCACGACAGCAGACAGTTCGTATTAGCGACATCTTAAAAAAAACGTATTCACCGGTGTACGCCAGGGCTCAGTTCTTGTACCTACCTTATTCGAAGTTTTCATCATAGATCTCTGTAGTCTTATTTTGTCAGAAGCTTGTCTTTTTGATTATGATGTTAAATATTTCCATGTGTCTCTCTCTCGTTGCCGGTGAAGACTGGATCATCAGTCTAAAGTCTGCTTTAATGCACTGTGCTTGAGAAAATTAAATTAACTGGAACTGAATACAAAATTGATAACAACCCTGTAGTCTCAGTGCTGATACAGGAGGATCTTGGTGTCGTTATTTAACCTGATTGAAATTTGCTGAACATTTTGACCCTATAGTTAAACGAGCTAACAACTTGTTGTATACAGTATACCATTGGAAAATGCTTCCATTACGCAAACGGCTGTTAGTTATGTTATGATCCACAGGATTACATAGGGGTACTTCTAAAAAATGCTTTTCAGTTTTGAAATCTGTACCTGGTCTAAAATATTGATCTCGTCGATAGCGTTCAGAGGAAAATTATTAAGTTGGTTTAACTCTTATGAAAAAGGATGGTAGGTCTAAACCTACCATCAGCTTTGCAAGAACGTCGTTTGCTATGTTTGCTACGGATGTGATCTCGTTATGTGTTTACAAAATATTGGCTCACCAGCAAGGCTGCTATGACTTGACTACCACCATCATTCCTCATTTGAAATTCTCTTGAAGATCACTTTCTGTCAAGAATTTGAACATAATTTCTTATAAAAATATACCACTGTCTCAATAACTGAGCATTGTGTACTTGGAAAGAACTGTTTAAGAAATTGCAAATTTGGGCTATTTCGTATTTATAAGTATATAGTTTATATTACCCTGAACATGTTTATTCACTTTAGATACAGTTTTATATGTCGTGTTTTCTGTGTGGATGTACTTCAAAATTATACACACATTTAGGGGCCTGGATAGTGAACGTGTAAACATTTCTATTTAAAAATGGGTATTGTAGGTCGTAAATCAAATAGTGTAAAAAAAGGAAGAAGAATATAATTTGTAATCACTGCTAAAACTTTAATTTTACACAAACATAAAAAAAAGAGTATTTCTGCACATGCATTATAATTATTATATTCAACACAAATAAAAGACAGAAACTTGTTTTAGGACTTGAAACCCTCAAATATTGCAGTAAATGAGGACTGTGAGTTGAAGATCCTTGATTTCGGTCTGGCTAGACCCACTGAAACCGAGATGACTGGATATGTTGCTACGAGGTAAGTGTTTCAAATCCGAGAAATAACGAAATGTATATGAGTCAGAGACGCGACTGCGCGCGCAGTAACAATACAGGTCACTATTAAAATAGAAGCCATTATTGGGAGTTGTGTCAACCTACCTAAATCTATGTGGTGTACCACAAACTTGGGTACGATTGGGTAATTCCGATTATAGCAGCATGCTTACATCGCAACTAGTTGCGCTCATTCCAGAGAAATGTTCAAATATCGCTAATCAAATTAAAACTAATTCAGTGTAGGATGTTTTTTACCCAGAAATAATATAATCTCAGTACAGAGTGCTAAAAAAACCGACCTCAAAAGTACGTGGAATTACGTCTATTTGCTAAGTTTTATTGAAATATCCCCTAGTTCGCTACTGTACAGGACTTGACACTGGTGATAATAAATATAGGTTCTCACTACGACACTACTCAAAGTATATTGAGAGAAAAACGCCTTGAATTGGAGAAATAGCAAATCAACCATTAAAGTAATTGCTCCTAAATTAAAGTTAGGCGCTATTTATAGAAATGAATTATCATGCCTGAACAGCCACCCTTCGAGGTGGATGATTTTCTTCAAAATGAAATGGGACCACTATGGAAGTACCCCCTTTCCAACATAAAAGAATCATGAAAATCGGTTCACAAATACCGGAGTTAACATCGCGTAACATACATACAAAAAAAAGAAGAAAAAAAAGAACATACCGTCGAATTGAGAACCTCCTCCTTTTTTAAAGTCGGTTAAAAAAAAGAAACATTATCTAAGTTCCCGTGCAGTCTATGAGAGGTCAAGCCAATGAGTGAATTAATTATTCTTTAGGTGGTACCGAGCACCAGAGATCATGCTAAACTGGATGCACTATAACCAAACTGTCGACATCTGGTCGGTTGGGTGTATCATGGCAGAACTACTCACTGGCAGAACTCTGTTCCCAGGTTCTGACCGTATCCTTTTATTAAGTAAAATATTTAAATGTATGCTCGATGTTTGTTACTTTATTTATTATATTTTTTCATTAATATTCTCTTTTCTCTACATTTGCAATCGATCGTGCATTGGTTGTTTGATGTCGCAAATTAGTGTCCATTTTCTTTTATTAGTGATCTATCATTTTTGACATTGAAAGTGGTTTAGTACTTATAAATTACAGTTTGGTGTATAATAACCAACAAACAGTGATTTTCCAACACATCGTGTAAATGCATGGTACGTACATTCAATGAGCGCTTTTTTTGTATTTCTTTATTTGACAAAAGAAAATGTTAAGGTGGAAGACCAAATACACCAAGCTTATTTTTGAGTGAAAAATAAGTATTGAAGTATTTAGTTATGCCAATAAAGTAAAATAAATCCACGTACATAATTCACATAATTATAATTAGCTTTTTAAATTAATTTGTTCAAAAGCAAGCCATGGCTCAACTCATACTGGCGCAGAGTCGAAGCGTCGCGTCGCGTCCTGTTTTTCAACTACAACGGCTGGCAACGCGTGTCAGCGCGTGACGACACTCGCTAATGCCGACCACACTATGATCCTGGCGCAATAATGTGCGCACTAATGTGCGCCCGGATCATAATGTGGTCGTCGTCTGACACCTCACTGCGCTCAAGTATCGCGCGGTGACGCATGTCAACGCCGGAAGCCGCTCGACTGCAACCAAGCGTCGACGCGCGTCGTCGCTTGACTCCATAATTGCATAACACAAATTTTTACCTTAATATTGGGAAAATAGAGATGAATTTGCTATATGCGTAAAACATGACGCGCTGAGATTCATGGAGGAGCTTGGGTGGCACGAGTAGGATCCTTCACCCACCACACGCAAAATAGGCGCCTTGACGTCGAGTTGCGGACACCAGCCCGTTACACCAAGTACCAAATACCAAGTACCAAAACATAACGCGTCGCGACGCTTTGACTCTGCGCCAGTGTGAGTTGAGCCTAGACGCAGGAGTTTTTTGACATTTCCTTTAAAAAGCAAAGTTATGTAAACAGCCAAAAGTTAAGATTAAAAATTTAATTTCACCTTATTAAAATTGCGTTATTTGCGATATCAAAAGTATTTCAGAATAATTTAATGTAACTAATACAATCCGACATCTAAGAAACAATATGATTCAATAACGGTAGGTTCCATTCAATTAGTTTAACTTAAACGACTGGAAAAAACGCTCATTCAATTCAATATTGCAACCACAAACATTTCAATATTAGCATGGAAATGTTTTAATCTTTAATATCGTATCTTCCATTATCTTTCACCTTTCGATGTTAATGCGTTAAGTTACAGTATAGCTTTTAGTATGAACTTCCATAGCTTTCAAGTTTCAACCTTAATGGACGAGACAGATATCCATCAATTGAACTTGATTATGGAGCTTCTTGGAACCCCAGCTCAAGAGTTCATGCAGAAAATATCCTCCGAGTCTGTAAGTAACATTTACTGAGCCCATAACCTCAAACTTTCTTGAGACTTGTACAGAATAGAATAGTACAAGTTGCATTTGAGTCGAGATTCTTCTAAATCATTAACGCCACCATAAGTCAGTGTCGGAAATTAGGATCTAAACGCATCAAGTGAGGCTCCTAAAATATTAAAAAATGTAGTATCACATAGTATTGATGTATTTCGATCCTTATAAATTTGAAATATTCCGACAAAATGGTGGTTTCGCTAACGCTGCACTCTGTAAATAGAAATAAGTAACAGCTTTGCATTAACGTGCTTGACGGTTTTGTCTTGTATTGTACGCTTGTGTACGTTTGGTGCTTTGTAACCTTAACATTCGTGCGTCAGATATTGATCACCTCACAAGAATATTGTTCTTGTGCGGCAAACCTGAACCGGAGACAATTGACAAAATTATAAGTGAAGAGGTAAGGGTGTCTAGAATTTTTTTACCGACAAATAGTTACCACACGACTTGCATATGATTTTAAAATGTAGTGTTTTTAAAGTGGTGCGTCGTTGAATCACGCATTCGGCAACATATGGCGCAACAATGTCAAAAGTATTATAGAAGACAAGGTGAAAATGTGATAACATACAAAAAAAAAATCGATTTAATACGGACACCTAGTAGCAGTGGAGCTCCTTGTGAAAGAGTTTCCCCCAGGGTAGTACTGCCACCTTACCTATTTCTGCTGCAAAGCAGTAATATGACTATTATTGCGTTTCGGTTTTGAAGGGTATGGTGAAATTACAGACACATGGGACTTCTCAACTTATTGTCTCAAGCTTGACAGGCGCAGTGGCAGTGCTCCTCAGATCTGTGCGATTTAAAGTTCTGAGTGGCACTGCATCTGTTATGGACAGGCGAGTCGTTTACCACCAGGTCCACGTCTTATTCGTCCCGTCACTTGGGATCATAAAAAAAACATTGCTTTTAACTCATATCTGAGTCATTTTCAGGAATGAATACATGAAATTAAAGCTCAATTTATGAATGCTTAATTATCTTTAGCATCAACCTATAACAATGATAAGAAACAATTAAAACTGAAGTAAAAAAATCTGTTTTATTTTTCACTGTACTTAACAGCTGTGTAATAAAATGAGTCACACATTGTTTACTGCGGTTTTATTCAAAAGGTCGTGTTTTGGCATTTTGCTATTGTTACAACCCATAAACTTCAAAACTGTGGGTATTCTATAAAGGTCAAGGTTCAAGGATAATTTTTACAATGCAGTTGATGATTTCACAATTCATTATTTGTTCCAAGTGATGTTTCATATTGTTCTGTTTAAATAAGTGTTATATGGGATATATTCGTAAACGTCCAAAGCGTTCATGATGTTCTTGAATGTTCTATTTGTGGTTGGTGCGTACTTGCTTAATATTTTAGCACAACATTGTAATGTGAATTACGGTGTTAGGCTCTCCTCACATTTTGTAGTCGGCATCTAGAATAGTAAATCTAAGGCTCAACTCACACTGGCGCAGAATAAAAGCGTCGCGTCCTGTATTTCAACTACAATGCCTGGCGACGCGCGACGACGCGCGAAGCCGGTCGAATGCAACCAGGCGTTGACGCTTAACTCCATTTTTGCATTACACAAATTTGTACCTTTATATTGGGAAAATAGAGATGAATATGCTATAGGCGAAAAACATGACGCGTCGCGACGCTTCGATTCTGCGCCAGTGTGAGTTGAGCCTATCAGATATCGCTTCTACTGTGGAAGTGAAATACTTTCTCTGATTATGCGTTACGTATTTGAGGCCAATCAGCTTAAAAGTGGTGTAAACCACTTTTATTCTACAATATTACTTTAAATGGTAATGTATGTAGGTAATTATTTTATATTTAGATGCAATTTGTACGATAAAAAAAATTAATATTTTTATATGTATAAAAAAATGTTGTCATGTGATAATAGCACCCAAATATAAAATAATTATTTATGTTTAGTATAATTTAAATAGTATCGTAGAAAAAAAAAGTATGCGGGTTACACCACTATTGCGCTGATAGCCTCAAATTAAAATGTTAGGCTCTCCTCACATTTCGTAGTTGGCATATAGTATATTATAATGATTGTAATAGAAATCGCTTAAACCAATTGATTATTTAAAGCGCGTATTTCTATTTTGTTTGTTTTTCAATACGTTCTGCATTTCAAGTGATAAATTGAAGAAACCCCAGCATATTCTGGCGAAATTGTATTATTCATGTCATAGTAATTCGAATCGAACGGAGTAATTTTTTTTTTTTTGATTATTACGTCCATTCTTGCTAAGCAATGAAAGTTTGCCTCACAATGTCTTTATAGACTATGTTTTGAATATGGTCAAGCAACTCGGAACACCAAGGTTTTGGAATCTTTTTGTCTTACTCTCGTAAAAGACGTATAAATGTGTTTAGAAAAAGAAATTGGAACGATTCCAACTGAAAAGTTAGTAGGCATGTATCACACTCGGGTCTATAGCGTCGGTGACGATTTGTAAATAAGAAATACATGCCAAATAGCTTTGCATAGCGTATTTTTCGAGGTATGAATCATGGGATGGCAGGAATTGCACGCATAGCTTCAAGCGGAATTAAGGAGATTGTAAAGCTTTTAAACTCTTTGAGATTTTTGCATGTATTGGTATTTCTGTATCTAAAGTGGTTTAGTTAGGGCTTCACATTTAGACGTTTGAGCGGGAAGATGTCGGAATGTATTGCAATCATCCCAGACCCTTCCTGTAGCTGAAGAGTTTCCCCAGAATTGTTCTAAGTGACTAAGAATAAGGTCAAACAGATGAATGTTTCAAGCATGTTTCAAGTTACGTTCTAAAATTATATTCGTACCAAGTGTTATCATTGCCCAATTAACCTATCCTTAACCATCTGAAATTTAGAATTTCAAACTTCGTTTTTCGTTTCAATTTATGAAGCGCAATAGAAAGCAGTGATGGCTGTCGAAAATGTATGAAGTTTTTACTTTTTACTTTGAACTTCATCGTTAGTGGGCTATATTTTATTAATAGAAGCACAGAAATAATGGTTTTTTTTAAATAATTGACACTAGAATATTTAGTATCAACGTCAAAGTAAAAGGTTTAAAATCGAACGGGAGGAAAACCAAAAAGTAAAGGAAAACTTATAAGGAGAACTAAAATTGGAAGAAATTAACATTTAAAGGGTTTTTCAACAAGAACTTTGTTTTGTGAATCAAAATAAAACAATAAATTTAGACGACAATGATGAATTTTTATTGTATTAAAAAAGTAACTTTTGGCAATTATGAATGAAAAATGATATCTGATAAAGGTTCACGACGACCACAGTTACAGATGTCGATTCTTTCATCAAAATTTTAAATCACTTTGACAAAATGGTGGGTCTATTTCGTTAATCACTTCACGAATTTTGAGTTTTAAGGCTGCAATCGATTCGACTGGGTCCGTATAGACTCTGTCTTTAACATAACTTCATGAAAAATAATCCAGCGTGTTAAATTATATGATCGAGCTGGCTACTTAACGGCACGAAATACATACAAGGAAAATTTTTTCTATGATTAATAAATTATATTATTAATGATATAAAATATAATAAATTATAACAAAGAATAGGATACATGAGGAACTTAACACAGGGGTAGGTAATGGAACATGTTAAGATAGGAGTCACTGGAGGAAGAAGGAACGGCCAAATTGTCATTTGTTTCTGAAATTGAAACTGATTTAATAATTTAGGCCATTATGAAACATGCACATTAAAGAGATTTCTTCGCCTTCGTGGTATTAAGATGATTTGTTATAAAGGATATAACATGTAGAAAAACACCATATCTCATTGAATAATATTTCTTAAATTCACAGGCTAGGAACTACATCCAATCGTTACCAACATTGAAGCGGCGCGAATTCACTGAGGTCTTCCGCGGCGCGAACCCACTCGCTATCAACCTTCTTGAGCTTATGTTGGAACTCGATGCCGACAAGTGAGTTTGTGTCCTTAGTTATTTTCTTTACACTCAGTATTAGGGTTAGGTGGGGTAAGAGGAACACCGGGGGAAGAGGGACTTGAAGCCTCAACTTATAATCTAAAAACTTTAGCACTATAGTCTCTCAGTCGGTAAAAGAGACAATCAAATTAGTTTAAACGATTTTAAAGAGATGTCGCTACGATGCTCCAAATTCAAAATGGAAGAAACTAATTTGACAGTTGTGGAATCTTAAAGAAAATACGAAGACATAGAAGATACCATGTTCTCCTACCCCATCGTTAGAGGGAAGAGAAACGTTGCACAATTTGCACGTTTTCGGCAAATACACCGTAAGTATTGAATTTCGCGTCATGATTGTTAAAACTTTTAAAGCTGATAAACAAAGGCAAGTTTAGTGTACTTCAAAATTCTTATAAAAGTATCTGTTCTTCCTAGAGCTTAAACCATTTCGTCGGATAGTGCAATTGCGTGTAACTAGCATTTGATTATGAGTCTCCTTTTCGGTAATTTAGTTGCCAAATCAAATTCGCGTAAATGTTGTGGCAACCAAATTAGCGTGATTTACGGGAATCTATTGTTATCAGTCCGTAGATAACATAAATTAATGCTTACTGTGCAAAAATGAATGTCGTAGCCATTGATATAACAAAGTAATAACGTTAAATCCCTCTCCTGTGAAATTTGATTTGGTGCAGATACGCGCTTTTTACCGATAACTACATACGCGGATTTGCACTATACCCGACGATTTGACTCAAAATGAAGTATGTTCTTCCTGCCTCACCTGACTATATTGAAGAAAAATAAAGGAATATGGCAGTTCACTGCTCAGAGCCGCTAAGCATGACCGCAAGAGCTAAGGTTTTCAATATCAGTGGCTTATCTCAAAAATTCATCGTTAAGTTGATTTAAAAAAAACAGGTATACCTACTTGGCGCTCAAAGCCGTCGAATGGTATACCGGCCCAATATTAGCACGTAATTATTTTAAACAATAGAAATCCCGTTTCTTATATCTATGATTAAAACCTCTTACTTTTCAGTAAGAGGTTTTCTTGGGATGATTATAAATTAATGGCAAAAACTCTAAACAAAATAGAGTTCGTTCAGGGAAGTACTGCCACCTTACATATTTCTGCCGTCAAGTATTAATGAAGCATTACTGCGTTCCGGTTTTCGAAGGGTGGTGCTGGTGAAATTACAGGCAAATGACTTGTCAACGCATGTGCTAGGGTGACGGGCGCAATGGCAACGCCCCTCAGATCTTTGTGGTTTAAAGCTCTGAGTGGCACTGCAACTGTCATGGATAGTCTGTCGCTTACCACCAGGCGCACAACTAGTTCGTCTTTTCACTTACATATATTTTCATTTAGAATTACAAAACTTTTCTTCTAAATAGTAAAGTAATTGTTAGTTACACGTCAAAAATCTACAATACGATAATACCGAGATTTTAGAGGGAGGTAGTATCCACTATCCGCGTACTATTTCCTTGAAGTTTAGATATATATAAAGTCTACATATTCTGATTTCTTAGGCGCATAACAGCAGAGCAGGCGCTGGCGCACGAGTATCTCGCACAGTACGCTGATCCAACTGATGAGCCGGTCTCCGCGCCGTACGATCAGAGCTTTGAAGATATGGACTTACCTGTGGACAAGTGGAAAGGTAACTCTGCCTATTAATTGTTTTTTTATCAAACTGATTGATGTGTTCCGTTGTACATCCATTACGTAATTGACTCATATAGAAAATATAGTATCATTTAAAAAAATAATGAGGTTAGATTTTGTAAAGTAAGAATATCTGAAAACAAAAACAAAATCAGTTGAAAAACAGAATAAAAGTATTAAACTTATTTGTCTATTCCTGTCGTGCGATGTTTTACGTGTTCTTAAATGACTATTTCATGCGAGATCGCTCGTGACAACAGATGACAATGCGCTCTATCGCACGGTTTAAAGTTTCAATGCCCATGTTCTGCTGCAAAGCATTCTTAATGCGTAGATAACAAAGCCAAGTTAGAAAACATCACATTCTTACGTGACAAATTGTTTATGACAAGCAGGAATCTTAATTTAGATGGACTTGTTTTTTTGGCTATCAATAATAAAGTGTTATCAGAGTATGTGCCGCTTTAGGTAAACAATCGAAAAGTACTTTTGATACATTAGATAAGCTGTCCTAGATGGATCTGATAATAGTAAATACATATTTTTGATTTTATGTACTCGACAACATTTCTCATTCAAATGTGATAAAGAAATTAATATTCTTACACTAGCTTATTACTTTGTTATTTCAATGACTACGACTTTCATTTTAGCATTAGTTTATGTTGTCTTCGGACTGATAACATTTACGCGGATTTGATTTGGCCACTAAATTACCGAAATGGAAACTCATAATCAGTTGCTAGTTACGCGTAATTGCACTATCCCCGACGATATATAACATCAATACATCATCATCCGTTTAATATCCAATCTTGGATGTAGGCCTTTTCCCTCTTCTTCTACTCTTGGCGATCTTGTGCCCGACTAATCCATTCCTGACCACCGTGTCGGCGGATGTCGTCCAACCAGCGTTGCGGTGATCTGCCGCGCCCTCTGATGTCCGCTCTGGGTCTCCGCTCACGTAGACGCCTTGTCCAGCGCCTTTCGTCCATTCTCGCAATGTGCCCCGCCCACGCCCACGCCCACCTTTTCTTCGCCATGACAACCATCTTTAGCTTTGATCCTATTTCGGATCCAAGCATTGCTTTTTCGATCTCGCAGGGTAACTCCGAACATCAATACGTGAAATAATAAATGTTTTTTAAGAAAAGCTTTCTATTCTATTCTATTCTTAAATAAATTCTCAACAGTCGTCTTCACAAAGTCGCGAATTCATAAGTCCCCTTGTATGTGTACCAGGAAAAATTTCACCACAGTACATATTAAAATGCCACATTTTCTCAATTATAGAGCTCGTGTGGAAAGAAGTAGTGGAGTTCAAACCCCATCCTCAACACATGAACACAGTCGTCGAAGTCAACCCCTCGTAATTGCACAAAATCGCATCGGTAACTATTAATTAAATATAATTATAATTATATTGTTTATTATAGAGTTAACTTTTACGAATTTTGCGAATACCTACAGTGAGTTATTTTATCACTTGTCACCTGCTAAAATATACTTTAACATACTGGTCGTTAAAATGGTTCTCTTAACCTGTTATCTAAAACAAAAAATAAAGTGATATATTCCAAAAATCCCCATAATGGTGTTAGATGTATTTATCCACTAATGACTAGCAGCATAGTATGTTAAGGCAGTTGAGATTTGGGAAATAAAGTATGATAATGGGGATTTCTGGAATAAAACTAACCCTCTGTAAATCAGATGACAAGTTATAAAGTTCACTAAGCGTGATATTGGCACCTATTTTTTTTAAGATAGTTCTAAGGTGTTGCTTGTACAGCTTGTGTCTACAACAGATGATGAAGTGAGTGTAACTATTTCAAAGCGTAGGCGCAATATTTTTTGTATTATCGTACTAAACTGCGGTATGACGACGACCGATTACATAAATGTATTTCCAGGTTTATATAACGTTGAAATGATATCTTCACATGTAGTGTCGTTATGAACGATAGAGTTCGAGTTTAATAGGAATTGAAGATATTTTATAACATACCGTCCCTCTCGTCACTGACTTTAGTATTCAATATTATTGTCAAAACTGAGTAAAAGTTACGATCATTTTTCAAAAGCGAACTTTTTCCATTAATTAACGAATTTTATGACGAGTTTGATATGAGCCACAACTCAAAATGCACTCAAAATTCGGCTTATACCGAAAATACTAGTGATGCAAGGAAGTGAGAAGTGTCATAACGGGAACAGATGCATTAATACACACGAAACTGAAAAACGCGCGTCCCGTCACCATGCAAATTCACGTGCACACTCTGATTCATCGAGAACGTTTTAAAGTTTTGTTATATAAGCTGCGGAAGGAGACGGTAATACCCGTTACTCAAGAGAGGAACGTTGTACACTTTACATATTATTCGATATGTTATTCATATTAGTACATTGTGTTACAAGGGCGGTAAGTAGGCAAATTACGAACTGAGGGATATTTTTTAATGGCCCGAACAGATGTAATTGCTATTCCGCCCGTGTGGCATACAACATTTTTATCACACTTGCAACGAAGTTGAAAATCTTTGAAAATGTATATATAATAGATATAATATATCTGCCGTCCACTAACTAAAACGCGGTTACGTGACAAATATCCATTTTAAAGAAAAAAAGATAGAGCACAAAATATTCTTTTGAAAAAAAAAAATTAGTTAATGTGTTCGACTTTTTTTTTTTTTTGTTTATCCGGGGGAATTAATCTGCTTACAGATACCCCGGCCCCGCGGGGGCAGAGCCGGGGTTATGTGGGACTGGGCTGAACCCTGAAGGGGAACAGCCCGACCGCACTAAACCCCCGAAGTGTTCCTCCTCTCCGCTATAGGTGGGGGTACGGGTACGCTGTTGCACTCGTCCGCGCCCCCACCAGCGGCTGGCCGCGCTCTGCGCAGCCCCTCCTCGAGAAGGGAGACACATCGGTCCCCCGACTCCGAATGTGAAGCTCGCCGAACACCAGACGAGCCTTCCATCCCGGACCCCTTTATGCTGGGCAACGAACTCCCCCGAGTCCGATACCCAGGGGCCATGGGGGGCCAGGACAGCATCCACTCAACTGTGAAGTTCAGTGGCTGCTCCCCCAGCCCCGGCGGATCTGATGACAGGCTCCGCCGCAACACGTAACGCGCTTCCGCGCGGACTCTCCGAAGAGAGTCCCTTGGAGCGCCCACTACGGGCCAACCGCCCACGTTCGGCCGCGGAGGATAGGACGAGCGGCAACGACACACCGACACGTCTCTTCCCCCGCGGCCCCGCCGCCACTGCATCATTAAAAGCGGTGCAGCCCCGCCAGGGTCGCGGAGGACAGGACGAGCGGCAACGACACACCGACACGTCTCTCCCCCCGCGACCCTCCTCCTCGCGCATCCGCGCGGTCCCGCTGGCCAGACGAGCCCCGCGCGGAACGCCCTCCTCCTCGGGCCAGCCTACCACCATCGGCCGGCCCCGTAGGTTCCTCTTAGCTTCACCGTGGGATGAAATCGACCACGGCTACTAGAGCCCCCCCGCCACGACAAGGCGGGAACCCCTTCGGGGGGGAACGTGTTCGACTTACCGGAACTTACCCTAACTATGCATAACTGAAAATATATCATTAAACAATTTGAATATTCTAAAACTGGTTTATGGTTTTTTACTTCGTCACGTTGTGTGTATATCTTGTCACTTAACCGCGTTTTAGTTAGCGGACGGCAGATATGCTACGAGCAAGTACCTCTAACAATGTTGAGTCAAATAAATCCGATTGTACTTGTATTAGTTTTAATAAATTAAATAAAAAAGTCTATTGCTTTTTGGCGTGGCTTGAATTACTTAATTATGCACGACGAGACAGCGGTGGCCGAGCTGGCTGTATCCTCGCTTCTAGCGGGCGGCAGGAGCGTAGAAATTAAAAAAAAAAGTAATAGGCGGTATGTTAAAAATACTGCCTAACTTTGCTCCAAGTTGTAATAGTGCTACTTACGAGCAGGTGTGATGAAAAAATGATTACACACATAATTTGAAACTTTTAGTGGCATCTTTTTTTAACTAATTAACTACGTTTGTGCATTCTTACTTCGGTCAGTCAATTGTGTGTAAGAATTAAAAAGAAATAATTGTTTAGTTAAAATATTTCTAATTACGTTAAGGCTCAACTCACACTGGCGCAGAGTCGAAGCATCGCGTCCTGTTTTTTAACTACAACGCTTGACACTCGCATTACTGCGCCCGGATCACAGTGTGATCGGCGTCTGACGCCTCACTTCGCTCAAGTAACGCGCGTCACGCGTGCACAAATTTGTACCTTAATAATGGGATAATAGAGATGAATATACTATAGGCGAAAAACATGACGCGTCGCGACGCTTCGACTCTGCGCCAGTGTGAGTTGAGCCTCATTGCATTCGAGCGATTATTATATACAATGTAAACGAAATGAATTATTAATTTAAAAGTTTTAAATTCGGAACGTACAGATAATGAAATATTTTTAGATTAGGGCTGGTTTTTATTGATTTAAGAAAGTAAATTACTCCTTTTTATTCACAATAGATTCAGTTGTACGGGGTCAAAGTACGTCAAGCTTGAAACTTAAGGTTGAAAATAAACTCTACGCCTCTTACGGTACGGTTTAAAGCCCAAAGTCCCAAGCTTAATGTGCACTTGACTGTACATCACTAGCTTCTCACAGCGAGTTCGTTAACATCTCCAGGTTTAAGGAGCATCCTAAGAGCTATTCGTACTGCTATAATCTAGAGTCTAGATCTGTCTAGATTCTGGACAGATAGATATTCTCAAAATGGGCAGTAGCATATGGAATCTGACCTAGCTTTTCAATAGCAATGAACGATATAGCAACTGGGTGCATCAGACCGCCACTGGAGCAAGCGTAATGCTATTACGAGTATTAACAATTGTTATTGATACAAAGATGGAACAAACATAAAGTAAAATTCCCTCGTTTCAACTGGAATCCAACCATTCTCTGTTGCCTCAACGTGGCCATGGCAGTAAAAACATCATGATATTTAAAAAAAGTAAATTGTGGTAACAATTGTGTTATATCGCCATCAATAACGTACTAACGGTGGCCCAACGGTTTGCACTGTGGACTCTGGCCAAGGAGATCCCGGGTACGATTCACGGTACACGGTAGGACCAATTTGGGAAAAGAACATTTCTAAATTGCTTCTGGTCTGGGTGTTCTGGGTTGTGTCCCAGAGTGAATTTCGTTGCTCTGGTACTCATGGTGTGGTTGTTTAAAAAAAAAAGTGGGCGGTATTGGGCTCATGTACTCAACGTGCGGTGACGACCGTTTGCAGTCGGATCCGATTTCGGAGAACTACGCGCAGTCGACCTCATCGGCTGCATGTACCCTCTGCTAGGTCAGTGTGATAACTCACTTCAATTTCTCCTCTAATATTTATTATATTATATATTTAATTTTTGAAACTAGTTCTTCATAATTGGTACGAAAGAGAACAAACTCAAAAAAAGTTCCTTCGATCCAGTTGGAGGTTGGACTTGAACCAGCGACATATCCGCGTAACGCGGAAAAGTTATCACTTTCCTCGAGGAACCAGCAAGCATACTTTACGAACTTCTCTGTGCACCTGCTAAGCAAGAAATTCATAATTTTTTTTCTGACTTTCTTCGGTTTTTGTGGAGAAATAAATACGTTCTTCATATTTAATGGTGGAAGTTACATGGCTATTTGTATTTGATATGTTTGTGTACCAATCACCAAGTGTATATAGCATGTGTGACCAAGTATTTGCCTTATTTGCCTATTCGACAAATACAGCAAACAACAAACTCACATTACCGCGTGCTGGACGATTTCTCGACGCACATCAAAGGATCCAATAAGGCAAATACGTAAGAAACCCTCCACACTGTGGTCACATTCATTATTTTAACACCTTACTTGGGTCCATGTATAGGCGGTCACATTTGTCAGTGTCTGTATATTTGTCTGTATAACAAATACAAGTAGTCATGTGAAGTGCCTTCATAGATGTTATATTTATAGAAAGAGTTTTTGCTTTTGGTATATTGTTTATTGCTATTGGACGGTTAGACCCATCAGAGTCTGGTTTCGTTTAAATTGGTAATTTTTAGGTTAGTTTTCTCTATCTAATTTCGGCAAATTGGTAATTTTTAGGTTAGTTTTCTCTATCTAATTTCGGTGGCAATTTTTATTATTTAAGTATTCGAGTATGATATCGCGAAATATTTCAGGTTACTACACTCGAATATTAAATAATACTTCATGATAAGATTGTACAATATTGAAATAATAAAAATTTCCACCGAAATGATATAGAGAAAACTGACCTGAAAATTGCCCAAATACTATTAGTACAAACATCCATCCATACAGACTCTCATTTGTAATATTAGTAAAATTGGATAGACAGGGCATGTCTTTACTTTAGAGTTAGTTTTAAATTAAAACTTAAGAGGTCATTCTCGGATTAGAGTTATCTGCCTAATTTTCCTGGCAATTTTTTATATTTAAGTATTAGAGTATATTATCGTGACTTTATTATTTAAAATTTGAGTGCATAATATACATGAACAGACGGCAGCACATCAAGCTACACACTAGCGGATCTTCTTCTGTTGCGCTTGAGGCGATATTCGAACTGCTGATTCGATGTGCTGTTGACTGTACATAAATAATATTCCAGTATATTTAACTACCTCTGTGGCCGAACGGTCCATGCCGGTCTGCCACCCAGAGGTCTCGGGTTCGATTTCCGGGTCGGGAGAAATATTTGTACGGCCTACATTTATTTCTCTCGTAAGTGTGGGTGTAATAAGTGGTTGTCTATGTGTGTGTACAATGCACCCGCGATACAGAGTTTCCCTAGTACAGGGCTATGTGTGTGTGCATTAAAAAACATAGAAGTATGTAGAATATTAAATAATATTTCACGATAATGTACTTGATTTTTTTATGATACTAAGTAACAGGACGGACAAGTCGTGCTTTTAGTGGTAAACGGCACGCTGTCTATAGGTTGCAATGCCAATGAGAGCCTTAAATCGCATAATCGAGCTGAGGGGTACTGCCATAGCATCCGTCGCTCTGGGACATAAGTTGACAAGACCGATGTGCCAGTAATTAATGCTCACATTACGCTTTCCGGTAGAAATGGAGCTTTATTGCCACTAAATACTTAAATATTAAAAATTGCTTGAGAAATTAGACAGTGAACACAAAACCGAGGGTGACCGAAGTATAGTGTAAACACTGCTTTTGCCTTTTAAAAGAATGCTATGTAATAAGGGTCATTTTTGCACTGGCGATTTTTAAATCTATATCTTCCAAATAAATAATATTTCAAATACTTTGATTAAAGTTAATGTAAACATTTACAACACATGTTCATAATTAGCTATGAACAGACAATATCTATATGCATGATTGTTCGTTTTTAAGCATCGTGTATACATAATAATATTTATACATAATACAGGGTTATTCGTAAAATACTAAGCAACCTCACAGGACTATTTTACTAAACATCATAACAACTTTTGTTCCA